TGCTTTTTGCACAAAACCACGGAATGACCCAAATATTTTCCATTTATATTTACATTCAGATTTTTATTTATTTGTTCCCTCCTTTCACGGGACCACAGGTCCCGGACCTTTGGAAGGCGTACGAGGAGCCGAAGCCAAGTCGCAGAGGCCCGTTGAACAGTTTTAATCTAAATGTGATGGGACACCAGCCGGCAATTATCCCTGTATGCACTATATAAGTGCACCCAAGGACAATCCCCGGTTGATGCAGGACTATTGTAAAATGTGGTAAAAATTGATAGGGTTATAGGTATGGGTTGCTATTGACTGGTGGATATGATAACTATGGAAATACTACCCCTGGGCCCCTGCCCCTGACCTTTATATTATTTATATTATTAAGTTGATCAACTAAATAGGTTTAATAAGGATTATGAATAAGTTGCTTAAAGTAAGACCATACCCTTTCATTAATGTTTAGTTACAGCATATTAATGATCTGCTACAGAGGAATCTGGGCCGTTATCTTAACTTCGTAAGTGATCCCTATCTAACTGGATCCTTATCAGAAACGATTAGCTGGTTTGTCTGTCTGTATATATCTGTTTCGTGTGTGTAGTTAGTTACGTATGTATATGTATATGGTAGAATATTAAATGTTATATGGTTTTGAATTTGATTGGATCCTCAAGTTATGATATTAATATTATTAACGAGAAAACTTATAAGGATGGATAGAAACCAGCGTGAAACAACTACAGCGTTGTGTTTCACCGTGTGAGTGAGGTTATCAGAGGCCCAGTCCCTCCCCCTTGGCTCTTCACGTCGAACGACAAGTTGCCACCTGCATCCATTGGCTCCTCGCGACTCTGACGATGTCGTCGGTCCACCTAGCGGGGGGCCTGCCCATGCTACGTTTTCCGGTCCTTGGTCGCCACTCCAAAAAACTCTGTTAAAGAGTGAACCTTCCGGGCAAGAGAGAGGGATGAAGCTATTAATAGCCCGGCAGATTCACACTTTAACACGTCATGATAGGCCTACTGGATTTATAATAGAAAAATGAAAAATTAAAAAATTGTTTATTACTAAAAAGTATTTTACAATATGGTTATACCCTAGATCCTACACGAGGATTCCCTGTGTTGTAGGACCTAGGCTCTGCGATCCGTTTATAAAAAAAAAAATTAATTCTAGTACATAAAACCTAAACTAGAACAATCAACATAATTTGTGTGTGTGTGTGTGTGTGTGTGTGTGTGTGTGTGTGTGTGTGTGTGTGTGTGTGTGTGTGTGTGAAATTATTTATAATTATAAGTTTGAAATCGACAATCCACCTTGAACAAGCAATGGTGATTAATGCTCAAACCTTCTCCGTTTGTGGAGGCCTTACTCTCAGCAGTGTACACTTTTAGGCTAATGATGTGATGTGTGTAACAGGGATATATAGTAATAGTATCTACCCTAGTACTTTTTTATCAAACACCATTTATAAAAGCGCATTATTTTTAATACTATTGTACTCTCTGCGCCATTATTTTATTATACAGGCATGAAAATAAAAAAATATTTAGCATTGAGACAATAGATTGTTTTACTATTGTTTGACTACTCCACCCACCAATGGTTGCAATAGATATGGCTTCATTAAAACCTATATAATTCAGTATAACAATAGTTACTGTTCGCCAAATAGCTGTGCAGATCGTATATAGAGAACAATTTTAGAGACTGGAAGGTATTTGAAAATTTGTGGATTTGATCCCATTGTTATTTTTCTGTGTTTTTTTTTATGGTATAGGTCGGCATATGGTAAGCAATCGGCGCCGCCCATGGACACCCGCAACACCAAAGAAGTTACGAGTGCGTTGCCGGCCTTTTGGGGATGGGAGTTGCGGGATATAAGGATTGGGAAGGGATAGGGGAAGGGGAGGGATTGGGCCTCCGGTAACCTCACTCACACGGCGAAACACAACGCTGTGGGTTGTTTCACGTCAGTATTCTGTGAGGCCGTGGTATCACTCCGGTCGAGCCGACCCATTCGTGCCGAAGCTTGGCTCTCCCACACTTAAAACAACACAACAAATTTGAACAATGAGCAGTGTTGTATAATATCGTCCGGATTGATACAACGACCTCACAAAAAATAATCGTGGAACAACTGTAGCGATATGTTTCACAGTGTGAGTGAAGTTGCCGGAGGTCCAATCCTTATTCTATGGAGGGACCATTCCTCCTCAATCCCTAAAACCCAAAAACCTTTCTTCTTTTTTCTTAATTAAACGTTGCCCCACGCTAGGAATTTCTCCTGTGTCGTGGGTGCGTTTACAAACATACAATTTCACATACACATCACACCCAGACCTGGGACAATAATTTGTGGATCACACAAAGAATTGTTCCGTGCGGGAATCGAACCCGCGATACGTTGCGCGGCAGCCAGTTGCCCAGCCACCGCGCCAACCGCGCAGTCAAAAGCACCTTATACGGCTCAAAATGCTAGAACGCACTTGCAAACCGTCTAATGTTATTTAATGGATGTCGATGTGCGGCGACGATTGCTTACCATCAGGTATTTAAACTGTTCAATTGCCGTGATATCACACAAAAAAAACCTCACCACTTGGCCTAATTGCTCAACATTTAAACGTATTGTACTTACTCGTACATATACAAAATTATGTATCAATGAGATTGTAAAATATATTTTTCTCAATTCGAATCAACCTTTTTGACCGAGCAGCGTCACTGACGGACTAAAAGTAACTGTATAAAGTTAAAAAGCATCGATCACTAATAAAGAAAGTGATTGATGTTAAAAAGGAAAAAATGTTTTTAACTCGTACACTAAACACTGAAGTACTCATACTTAAAAAAAAATCTCACCAGCACAGTACAACCACCAAATTCAAAAGACGATCAAATAGCCGTCTTTAAACCAACGAAATAAGATCCAAAATTAACATGAAAAACAAATATTATAAAAATGATACGTTTATTTATTCAAATACGTGTACAATGTAGGAGAACTATGCATTCCCCAGCGTGTGGTAATCACAGTGAAGTTTACTCTAGAAATTGATGTCTCTACAAACATCAGTTACATTTCGGTTCGTCTGTTTGTTTGTACAGTTTCATTTCATATCGCTGAAGGTGATTCTGTTACTTGAGACGGTTAATTGTTAGAGATAGTTTTGTAGGATAGACTATGCGTCTCCTCTATACAGAGCGTAAAAAGACACTTAACGAAGCCGAAAGCCACGTATTCTACCCATTATTTGGATCATTTTTTTCTTTAAGACCATAGCTGGGACTCCACGGGTTCTCGAGATATTGAAGGTCAAAGATGCATTTTTAATATTTTTTTGCGCAATCGAATTCTAAGCATTATTACAAAACTTTTATCCACACAAACATTACCTGAATTCTCGATTTTTCTAAATAAATTACGCATTTGAAGTGACGAACAGTAATGTACGTAATGAATAAATCGTGACACTCACTCTTGACCGTACAAAAAACATCGTGCATCTCAATAGGATTTTTATTTTACAGAATTGTTTTGTTGATGCGAAGTAAAACACCGACCTACGTACTTATCACAGCGTTTTAATGCTAAGCTGTGAACCTACGCACACAATGACACGAAGCCAGTTTGCTATACATTGCGCGCAAAAAAAATAATTTTTTTAATACCTAAAAATAAAAGTCGTTTCCCAGTGATAATTTTAGCGTAAACCTACTTAGTTAGAACTGCAGTATGCGTAGTTAACGGCTTCGTTAAGAGTCTTGTTACACCCTGTATAAGAGGAACAAAATACTGACACCTTTTTTATTGTCCAAAGGGTAGACAAAAATATACTCGGGTCTGCGGATGGCGAGCAAGGGTAGATCGCCGTCTGACCAGAACCAGACCAGAGGAACAAACCGAAGTAGGAGGAGGAACTAAGTAATTTTTAGTCAGTAAGAGTCTGATCCCTCTGGACAAGAGAATTGATGATTTTACCCCAAACAAAAGGAACGGTACTCTGACTTCCCCAAGTTTGAAAGTTCTTCCAACCACTTCAGTATGCAAAATAAACCGCTGGATGCAGGTCAGTTCCAATCAGCCTATCTGGAAGTCTATGTTTCGTTGTTTAGCAGCGAAGGTTTAGTTGATGATTATGATGACGATGATGATAATAATGGGGATGGCAATGATGTTACCTAACATATCGTTTATAAAGATCACAACAATGGTAGTCAAAGAGAATTTGCTGAGTGCTAAATATGTTTCCAAGTTGAATTGGGTAAGAATCTTCGTATGCACATCATAATGAGTTTCCCTAGGGTGGTATACCGTATCTTTACCTCAAAGGACTGCCATGCCCCTGTGTGTATGGAGAAATGGTTCAACATTTCTATTTACTGTAATAATAAATCGGTTTGAATTTACAGCTTTAGATATTTCATAATAGCTTTTCTTTGAAAGAGTAGACAATACGCTGTTTGCCTTCTTTCTCAGGCAAATGTAGATGAAAATGTGACGGTACGTGTGAAAACCAAAAAGAAAAAAAAAACAAAGGAACCGTCAGCCAAGATAGTCACTAAAAATGTACCATGTTAGTAAGAAAATAAAGATCTATTCTGTACGTGTGACTTCTCAAAGTCATGGTTATAATAAGTACCTAAAAAGAAGGCTATTTACTTGAGCAAGGACATCAAATAGATTAACTTGGTTAAAAATCACAAAATCAAGCGTAGCATACGAAAGAAAGAAAGAAAGAAAGAAACATTTATTTCTGCGCAAGCGCACACACATAAAAATCAAAAATACCAAAAAAAAAAGGAAAAAGAAAAACTATACCAATTATTTATACATATATATAAATAATTGGTATATACATATATATAAATACATATATATAAATAATTGGTATATATATTTATAAGAGTATAAATAATCTCTTATAAATAATCATTATAAATAATCGTTATTTTCAATAAATTCAGTCGTATGCTACGCTTGAGTCACAACGAAACTCTTATAAATGCGATACAATTTCACACACACACATGAGATGTATGTGAAATTGTATGTTTGTAAACGCACTCTCGACACAGCAGAAAATTCAAGAGTGTTGGCCCTCTCTAGAACTCTGTTGTTCTGTACTGAAAGAAACTTTTTCTTACCTACATTTCAAATATCTTGTCTGACTGCTATGGCACCCAGATATTCGGCAGTCGTAGTATGTGACAAGTACCTTGAGATGAATTTGTCTGATCTATGACAATAAAGGGCGATGGCAGAAGAATAACACTGTTAGTTAATCGAGGGTCTGAAGTTATACCTTCTGTTTTGTGTGTATAGGTTGAACCTTCTGCCGACAAGCCACACATATATATGTTTCTGTCAACCAATTGAAGGTGGCAAGAAATTGAATATGGATAAATGAATGCTTTTTAATTACGCCGTTCTATTTTTTGAAATGGCATGGCAATAGCGCGTCAAGATTCTTTCTCAAACAATTCAATAGTTGATTTTTTTAAAACGGACTATGAATAAAACTAACTCAGACTTATGATGCGACCTTCAACACACGTTGTTGCCAGCCCTCTCGTTCGATGAATTTCAGTCGGATTCCTCCAATAGGTGCAGTGATTACAGATCGTGGCTCGAACTGGACTTTTTCGCTCATGCCTGTTGCGAGTTCCACTCGATATTTCTTCAGTAAAGTTATTATTCCGGCTGTAATCTGCATCTTTGCAAACCTCATTCCTGAAATAAAAGAAAAAATATTTTAATTTTATTATTGCAGTCACAGATTCTAACAGTATTAGCTATACTTTGAAAGTTCATGACTTCATAGTAAAGTACGTAAAAAATAATTATTTTATATTGCGTAAACCAAACCTCGTTTCAAAAAGATATTCATTAAAAGAATTCCCGCTAAACACGCGTTTTTTTATTAAAAAAATCCCCCTTCTGTTTGAATCGCTTCGCTTGAATTAAGCGCATATTTGTTTTTGGTTACAAAAAGCACTTAGTTAAGGAAAACCACTTACCAATGCAAAGTCTAGGGCCTTCTCCGAATGGAAAGTACGTGTATGGTCTGATTTCTTGCTTAGCGTCACCCAGAAACCGCTCCGGTCGAAACTGCTCAGGTTCAGGGAAGTATTTAGAATTGTGTTGCATATGGTACACCGGTAAATGTACCCGAATACCTTTCTCTAATTTCAATCCTGTGGAGAATGTGTAGTCTTCAATTACTTCTCGAGTTATGACTCCCAGAACAGGGTACAGACGAAGAGCTTCATTGACACACGCTTCCACGTAAGGCAACTCGGTAACACACTCGTATTTCAATACATTGTCGTTGCGACGCAAATAGTTCTCCACATCCTGGAACGCCAGGTCTTGAGCTGCAGGATTCTTTGCCAATTCAAACAAAGTGTAACTCAACGTGGTCGCCGATGTCTCAAATCCAGCAGCAAAGAACAAGAAACATTGTGAGATCAAAAATTCGTCATCAATTTCTAAAGTCAGTTTTTTCCCCGCATCACCCTTCATATTCGACATACTGTCACCAGTCACTGTTTTTTGATTATGCAGCTTCAACATAAGATCAACAAAGTCGTTTCTTGTAGTTGGCTTGTAGTCTCTTCCTTTGAATGTTTCAGTCATCAAATTGGTGAAAAACTTGTCAACATCAACAGGTTGAGATTTGTACCCCAAACCATAAAAGATGGCTGGCCAAATACCTCTCGCGACAAGCTTGAATGCTCTGAACCAATTAGTATCGAAGATAACGTTGCCAATTTTTGTGAATGGATTGTTTTCAGTCTTCACCATAGTGCGGGTCTCTACACCAAAAGCACAGTTTCCAATGGCATCCATCGTGAACTTTCCTATTAGGGCTCTCACTTCAATGTCATTGCTTTTCTGAACTTCCTGGTCGATGAGATTTTCGAAGACATGAGCACATTTCTCAATTAAATGAAACATATTCTTCATTTTGGCGGATGAGAACAGAGGCGTTAAGTTTTGCCTTTGTACCTTCCACTTGTCACCATAACTGAAGAAAAGATTTCGCGTTATCAATTCTTTTTCGGAGTAATTTGAAGCTTCACGGCCGCTGAAGTAATAGTAGTCTTTTGTCATGACGGCCTTGATGAGTTCTGGATCTTGCACGATGAGGGTTGGTTCTGTGCCTAAGTAAGTGCCAACGTATGGTTCTTCTGGGAATGTTTGACATAATTCCTGTTCTACTCGTCCAAAGTATTTCTTCTGGAGAATGTATTCGGAGAAATTTCCCAATATAGGTTTTGGTGGCAAATGTGACACCTTCTTTCTTACGTTCCCAGTACTGATATTTTCGTTTTGATATAAAATAAATGCTGTACAGAGCCAGTGGTATGGCGAGCAACAAATACAGCGCAATCATGTTTAGTTTTGAGCAGTGTTGATAACTATTGTTAGTCTGTTTCCGTATTTATAGGGTTACAGTGTAAGTGACAATGAAATATAAAAAATTTAGGACATTTTAATATCTGCCTGTTACAGTGAAACAATTTTATATAAAATCATATTTTATACTTGTCTTAACGTAAGGTTAAAACCTAAACTTCTTATTCCCTGAGGGGGATGCCAAAGGTTAATATCCACTCTATTGATAATGTAACGTGTCTAGTGGTCTATTGTTACCTACTAATAGTTTTCTAATACTCAAAAATACCGACATTATGTCTGTCATTTCAAATAAACCTTGTCCTTACTATTTTAAAAATTATTGACAATATAGTGCAACAATCTCTTGATTGTAAATCTAACAAGATTTTTTACAAGTCACACTGATAATTACATCGTTATCTAAAGTACCTACATACATAGAGATTTATCTCATACAAAATATCCAAGGGAGGTCTTGATTTTGGTAAAAAAAAAATCATGAACTTTCTTGCGTCCTACGAATTTAAATTTGAAGCAAACGAGCGTGCAATTTTTAAAAGTCTAGCTAGCTACGCATTTGTGCTCTGGTGTTGAGGGTGTTTAGAGGCGGAGTTGATCACTTACGATCTGGCAACATATTCAATTAATTACTGCTTCCTCATCTTATAAAAAATAGCCTAGCTTCACCGGTGTACAATTTGTCAGAGGTGAACTCAAAAATAGCTGAACAGATTTTCACACGATTTTCATTTGTAAAAAAAGGAAGATCTAGGTGAAGGTAACTTAAATACCTTGAGGTATTTAAGTTGGGTTATTTGTAATTTTGTCAGTCTATCATTCGTTATAAAAAATGGGTATCAAGGACGTATTTTTGAGCGAAAAAATAGATGAAAATAAAACAGTTTTTTTTGTGTTTATGATTCTAAATTCTAAATTTAATCCTTCTTATGGACTCTATTCCATAAGATTTAGGGCAAATTTTTTAATAGTCAGTTAAATTTTATCTGAGGAATAAAATTGTTACTGTCACTTTCTTATACAAACATTCTGACGCGACAGCATCACAATTATTCGTCAGGTAACTTTTATCTAACCATTGAAAAATCAGCCCTTCGAAGTAATAAATGGCTTTATTGATAAATAAACATGATTTATGCCTTAGTTTTTATAGAGTTCCATATAACTTGCATTTATTTCGACTACATCAATAAACACAAATAAATAGAATAATAAAGTAAATATTGAAGGGAATTTTGCCGTTTCCATAGATATCGCTACGGAAGCATTTGGGCGTGAGTCTGTCTCGCACTTGGCTGGTTTTTTTGATACATTCTTATCAAAGGTGTTTGTCCTGTTTATCTGAATGACATAATCCCAGGAAGATTCTGTATTGTCAGCTCAATTATGTAAATATGTACATTTATAGCATAAGATAATGTACATATTATGTATTGTTTTCTTTATTATCCTCCATTATTAAACACTTACCTGAAATAGAATATTGAATTTAGTTTTTTTTTTTTTTTACTTGCAATAAACCAGTGCTTGACTGCGATCCCACCTGATGTTAAGCAGTGATGCAATCGTTGATGGTAAGGCGCACTAGTTTATTAAGAGCCTATTCACTCTAGTCTTGAAGACACCTAAATTGTATTCGGACGGAAAGACTGCAGCCGGCAAACTGTTCCAATCCCTCGATGTACGCGGTATAAATGACGAGGCAAAACGCTTAGTCCGGGCCGCAGGTGTCTCAACAACGTAGGGGTGGATATTCGCCGTACGCCGGGATGTCCGAAGGTGAAATTGGGATGGCGGAATCAAATCGTGCAATTCCTGGGCACACTCTCCAAAATGCATCCTGTAGAAAACCGCAAGGCTGGCTACTCTGCGCCTGTGCTCGAGACTTTGAATATTGGACCCAACCAAATCTGGATCTCCAATCAGCCTCTTTGCACGCCTTTCCACCGAATCCAAAGCCGCTAGATGGCATTTCGCAGCACCAGCCCATATGTGGCTGCAGTACTCCACACTCGATCGGACCTGAGCTTTATACAACATTAGAAGCTGACTCGGTGTGAAGTACCGTCGGACTTTTGCAAGAACGCCGAGTTTTCTAGCAGCTACCTTGGCTTTGGACTCAATGAACGGCCCAAAGTTAAGGTCTGAAGCAATGTCCATTCCCAAGAGCTGAAGGCGGTCGGTGCACTCCAGGGATACATCCCGAAAAGCAGGAGCCAAGGTGAACGGGCTCCTTTTGGCGGTGAATATATGTCTTTACTACAATACTATAATATAGATGTCTTTACTACAATATTCAGCAGACATTTTAGTGTTATTTTAAGCTACAATGATATCACATTTTCACACTATGAATGCCAGAGATCAGTCCACTAAAAAAGGCGGTTACCAGGGCCGATGTCCAGCCGGCGTTGCGCATGCAAATGTAACTATGTACCGTGGACTGAAGGAGCAATGGCGTCTAAGTAGACTTAAAAAATACATATAACTCGGGTAATATTATTGACTGCACGGTTGTCGCGGTGGCTGGGCAACTGGCCGCCGCGCAACGTGTCACGGGTTCGATTCCCGCACGGAACAATTCTTTGTGTGATCCACAAATTATTGTTCCGGGTCTGTGTATGTGAAATTGTCTGTTTCTAAACGCACCCACGACACAGGAGAAAATCCTAGCGTGGGGCAACGTTTTTTTAGAAAAAAAAACAAAAAACAAATATTATTAAAATATTACTATTTATACGTGTAAGCAATAAAATTTGGAGAGCAACGAAATAGAAAATCTGTTGGTTTTATCGCCATAAAAGACGGAACTCTAAAAACTAAAAAATATTTTTTAAGCTTTCGGTATAACAAAAATATTAGCAGATTTGATTTTATAACTGAACAATTATCGTGATTAAGCAAAACAAACTAATTGTTTTCAAAATTGTAATATTGCACAACATTTTGTAATTTTTTTTTTATTTCAGTTAGTTGGTGTTTAAGATTTCGCAGTTGGTTGCAGTTCTTGTACAAAAGTAACAATCGTCGGTCGTCTCCCAGCCTTCTTGGTAAATTTTGTTTTTTTTTTATTTTACTAGGTTTTTCAACTAAAACATATACATTACATACTTAAATGAAACGATTAAAAAATTAATTTAAATATATATAGACTCATTCTTTATTTAAATTTGAAATCGTTTTGATCAATTTCTAAGTTAAACATGTAGGTACCATGTTTTATAATTGATTTTTTAATTGTATATAAACTAGAACTAAAAACTTTCCCGGCATTTATTGTTTTCAATACCCAAACGCGTTCATCTTTTTCCTATGCCTTGTTGATCCCAATTAAATTGAACTAAAAAACACATTGACATGAGCAGTCATGATAACAAATGCTTGTACCTTTTCTATGTGAGAAGAGGCCTTTACATAGCAGTGGGTCCTTATAGTGCCCGACACGGACCATTAATATTTCTCCGTCTAACATATCAACTGTTTTTATGCACACATTACGATATGCAATAAAGTATTGAGTATAGACGTGATGATTCCACCAGTTCTTATATATAACCATTTTATTAAAGACATTATCCTAAATCAAAGAGGAGGATTCTAATGAAATTCCATCAACGTAAATGGTAACAATTGCCTGGGATCACAGTTCGAAGAAACTTGCAACTGAAGTATGCTTCAACAGCTTTCAAACTCCTACAATACTAGAATTTTGAGCAATTGTTACCTAGGTTAAGTCTTAAACTTCTTAATAACTTGATGCAACAATAATATCTTTTTAACATGGAGAACTGGTTGTAAATTTCTCAAGAAATTTGTATTTTTGAGCACCAATTTATGTACATTGGCAAAAAGGAATGCATTTGTGGCAAACTCCAGCAGGTCATAAAAGGATTATTGTCAAAATTTTAAGATTACATTTAAAAAAATGTTTTCTGTTTTTGGATTGGGTAACAAGCAGATGGATCGCTTGAGAGACATTATTATTATACAGGTGCGTATGGTATTTTGAAGATTGGAGATTAGGGGTTTCAAACTTCTGGCAAGTCTCTCACATGGCGAAACAAAGTTGTTTTTCTCATTTTTTCTGTGAGATCGTGCTATCATTCCAGCCTAACCGAAACGTAGAACTGCCACGTGTAATTCTAACTCTTAATAACTTAAAGTCGAATCAAAGTCAAAACCATTTATTCCAAACTAGATACTTTCGCACGGTTCCACTCGCTGTTCGGCTTCTACAGATTTTTGAGTGATACTTCATAGCTTTCCTCAAAAGTGGATTAACGAACACAAAAAGAATTCATTGTTAAATTCGAACCAGTAGTTCCGGAGATTAGTGCGTCAAAACAAACAAACAAACTCTTTAGCTTTATAATTTTGTACATTGAAACCAAAAACAAGTACTTTTGAAACGTCAAAATGGAGTCGGTCAGTTTGTTAGTAAAGCAAGCTGCTTGTTTCAAAGTGTAGATTCGAATGGAGAAGAACGAGCAAGAAGCTCCATCGTTACTCTTTCAATGTGTGTTTACAAGCTCCCCGGTTCATTATTTAATACACATTACTGTACCCATATGTAATAACTAGGTACGCAAAGAATAATAATACTTAAATAAATTCTTAATACCTCCACTCATTTAAAAACTAAATGTGGGAGAGCCGTGCTTCGGCACAAATGGGTCGGCTCGACAGGAGTAATAGCACGGCCTCACAGAAAACTGGCGTGAAACAACCTCAGCGTTGTGTTTTGCCGTGTGACTGAGGTTACCGGAGGCCCAATCCTTCCACTCCCCAATCCCTAAATCTCCCAAATCCCTTACCCCCAAAAGGTCGGCAACGCACTCGTAACTCCTCTGTTGTTGCCGGTGTCCATGAGCGGCGCTGATTGCTTACCATCAGGTAATCCTCGTTTGCCGACCTATCACATAGTAACAAGAACAGTATAATGGATTTGGACCCATAAAAACGGTAACTTCTATAATAGTAGCAGTTAAG